CACAAAACTCCCACAATAGTATTTTAGGGATTCTAGACATTGGAATTCTTCGTTGTTATTTTTCCATAATTTAATTTAACATTCAAAATTTCAGAATTTATTTATGTTTTGTATTCAATGTTACTTTTATTTCAGAATATAACCAAATATCATATTTTTGATCGTTATCTTGCTAAAAAATAAAGTTCTGCCCAATTAGCTTAAACCCAGATGGTATGTAAGTACGCTATGGTGCCGTTTTGCATCGATTTTTCTATCTGTCCACAAGAGGTCTCCAACTTCAGATCTAGAAGCATATCCCCAAACCATTATGAAACCACGTTTGTGTTTTACTGGTTTGCAAACTTCATCCCAAAATCCCACTCAAGATCTTCTCTAAAATACTGCTTTCTTCCGGGACCAAGACTCAAGTGGATAACGAGGTAGTGGAATTGAAAGAATAATGCAACATTATTCAACATACGAAAATCTCGTAGTTCCATTTGTGAAAAGTTTACAATTGAAAAAAAATAAGTATTAGAAAAAAAAATGAAGGAAGTGATACAGATTTCATAGAGATTTTATTAAGGAAACAATCCTTAATATATCATAAATCTATCATCTACTCAATATATTTTTGTAAATATAGCTCCGAGAGTGGAAATATGTATTTAATGGATTGATGAAGTTTTGATATTTTCATTGTACCAACTCTCTGCAAACCGTAATTAAGCATTGCTCTGGTGAACGCAACACGGAAATCAATACCTAAATCACTCATATCATAAACAATTATTAATTGATGAAATATAATCAGAAATTTTCCTGGTATCAATATAGAAAATATAAATAGACGAAAAATATATATTGTGAAGAAGATAATGTTTAGTAACTTATTCAAACAACAAATTGGATGATTTTTGTGTTTCAATCCTAAAGCTCATTAGCAATGAAGTTTAAAGAGATAAGTTTTTTAAATATTTGGACATGCGTTCTAGAGGAACATACAACTCTTCCGCCATGAACTGAATTGTACTTGAAAAGACTCAAGACGTCATACTGATTGTATCACGTAGGCAGCGATGATGTTCAGCCATTTTCCCATTACTACTGGATATGTGCCTCTGGCAATAAGTTATCAACAGATTTTAATCGACTGCGGTAGCACGTGAGATTCAATCATAGCATTCGATTCTTCCTTGAAAGCTTCATCGCTACGTTAAGTGATAGTTGATAAAACATGTTGTAGTAGTTATCATTTTGTGCAAATAGCATGAGTCTCCAAGATTTTAGCCCAGCCCGCAGGATAAGATAAAAAAAGTCATCATTATGAAATATTAGAAGACAAATTAAAAATAATTTAGCTACACGAAAAAAAATACTAACAGAATCTTAAACAGGAATATTGTTATAGTTTCCAATTATCTCCTTAAATACAACTCCTATTATCTTCTCCCTTTAATCTTCTAAAATCCTCCTTCTTCTTCTCCATTAAAGATTTAGAGATCACCATCGACGAAAACCTCTCCTGGAAATCCCATATTGTTCGATAAGTAGGCTGAAGTTATTTCATCACACAAACCTATCCGGCAAGCGCCTTATACCTCAATTTTATATATATGTTTTTTATAATATTATATGTTTCGTTATCTCCTCATTTATTATGCCTTACTCTAACTACGGCTATTTCATTCAAGGTGGGCTCCCGACTGTATTCGAGGACATATTAAAGTGAATCTTAAACAGCTTATTAAAATTTTCCTTCAGTACTTCAAGATGGGCTCATCCCAACATATATTTTTTCTAACCTTATTATATTCCTACCTTTTTTTTTTTTTTTTTTTTTTTGGTCATCCCTACCTCGGCTTTAAGGCTATACGGGATTTTCCCGGGCCGGGGGGTGAGGGCGGGGAAATTTAAAATCCCCTCCGGCACCGGGATGCGAACTCGTACTTTTTATATTATCTCAAATCTCTGTTATCCGGTTGCCAGGCAACTAGCGTGCTGTTACACGCGCTTTAGGCTATTCGGCCACCCCGCCTCATTATATTCCAACCTATACTAGGTAAGGAAAGTATTGCAATCGGGTCAAATTTCTGATACGCGGTTTTCTGATAATGACGGATCTATAAGTTTCAGAGCCCCCTGAGTCCGAAAAACACGTTTTTAGCCATTGGACTGTCTGTCTGTCTGTGTCAAGATTTTCTCGGGAACTACTAAACCGATTTTGTTGCTTCTTGTTTTATTCTGTAGTGTTTTGACTACTGATGCCTGTGACAGGAATTCGGTGCTCCATGCGCAATAAATGAAAAAAACATCTTTTTCTATAGGTTGTAGCGCGAAAACGGCTCTAACGATTTTGATGAAACTTTTCTATAATGTTCTAATAATTTTCGCATATATACTAAATTCCCTAAAAAATTCAGGAAAAACAGTTATAAAGAAAAGAAAAATGTTATGTGGCATAGCTCCCTAAGTATATATTATACGGTAAAATTCATAACAAAACTTTTGAAAGGTAATTAAATTACCAACAGCTTATTCTATTTTTTACACATGTTTCAACTTATTATTTTCCTACCTATACTAGGTAAGTTTCAAGATCTTAAAGGATGCGCATATTTCCCAGTATCACACTGAGTTAAAGTTGCTTTATCCGTCCTACCGCCATCAGTACTTTCCTGCTACCTTCCATTCTAGGCTATTAGAATCAAGTAATACCTCAATATTCTACAGAGCCTACAATTAAAATCCTTCATCCAATCCCGTCCCACCAGATCCCGTACGTCCGACCTCTCTCCTCCTCCTCACCGAACTGCTGCGTTTGACAAATCCTTTATAATTAAGGGCATCTCCCTCTGGAATTCTATCTCTCCCGATATTCGACAAGAAAATATTTCTCTTTCAAATCTTTACTCCAAATCATTCCATTTCCAATCCAATTGATCCGAAAATGCACTTAAGAATCTTAAGTCGTTAGACCCTCAAAATACCCATCAAAGTAGACACTATTTTCTTTATTTATTTTATATTTACGTATGGTTTTTATATCTTTTTATTACCTGTTTTACTTTATATTACCAATTATTTTGTAAATATTTTATTTTATTTTATGGATGCATTTATACTCTGCTTATTTATCTTTTGTATCTATCATTTGTTTTGGAGGGACACTAGTCCCAGAATGATAAAGTTATTTTCATTCATTCATTTATTACTCTATATTTGATTTCATAGAGATAATACTTAATTCTTCTCTCATAACTTCAAAGATATGGTCTCTGGTTTTTTTTTATATGTTCTACTACAAATGTTATATCCTTGGTTTGGTTTTTAAATTTTGAATGGGTTAATGAAGTAATGCTTTTTTTAGCATATTACTAATGATTAAAAAAAAAGTTTAGTCCAATAATTGGAATCACCTTTTGTTTATTTTTCTTTGTAACTCGGAAGGTTATGTTACTTTAGATGTATAATTGTTTGGAAATAATAAACCATTGTGAAATAATTTGCAGCGTTTTTTTTTTTTTTTATGGAATACCAATAATTGTTTTCACTTTACCAAATAAAAAGAATTATGGTTATTTATTTCCTTACCTATAGAAAAAATATATATATAAAAATAAGTTGGTTATAAATTTCTCAATTATATAACAACAAATATAACCTCAATTCTTTAATTGAGGCTTGATGTTACAGGATTGAAATTTTAAATTCAATAAAAATTACGTCCTCCTGTATAATTTTCTATTTTTTTTTTTCTGTGCAACCGGTGTCTCCTCTCCTGCTTGTCAAACGAGTCCTCATTTGACAAGCAGGAGACGAGGACCACCATAAGTAAGCCTGATGAAGATCTGATATAAATCCGAAATGGGTTACGCAGAGAGGACAAAATAAATAATTAACTGGAAGACAACGTCTTTTATATTTAATTCAAATATAACAATTATATAATACAAAACAAATATAACAATAAAAAACCTTTCAATCTTGATCACTAGTTAAAATTGTTTACTGAGAGTCAATAAAAAATGTCGGTGAAATTAAAAAAAAAAAAAATAATGCATTCAAAATTATAGAAATATAATATAAAAATCATCTATAATCTAACAATCACTTATATGAATATTCTTGCGAAATAATGAACTACAAACAATCTTGAAAACTAATGTTAAATACATGATAATAATAATTATCAACTAAAACATAAAATTCATCCATTGACTAATTAAAATGTTTAAATCAAAAATTTAATATCAAATAGTTCAGATATAATTTATTATATTATTCAATAATGTTGCTGAAGAAATTATTTTTAAATTGGAGCATTTTTAAAAATGAAGTAATTTTTGAAAATCCATAATAATCCATAAAATGTGTAGACAAAAATAATTTAAAAAATAAATAACATAATGCAGTCAAAATCACTAAAATTATGTCACAAAAATTACTCAATATTTAAAAACCACTCCGACAAAGATTCTTGCGAAATCATGAGTTACAAAAAAACAATCTTGAAAACCAATAAAAATGTTGAAATTATGCAATTTTCAATTGAAGATACCTAATCTATAGTTCGTTATTCAGTAACAAATTTTGTTATAGATAGTTCAGATATAATTTATTTTACTATTTAAAATTTTTTACTTATGAATGGTAATATTTGGATTAATAGAGTAATTTATGGAAATCCGTAATAGACAAAGTTTCTTCAATTCCAAAATTCAATCTTATATATTATTTCTCAAACAGATATCCCATCTCCGGCTCTTAGGAGTGATGGATTTCGACGAATGAGGTATCAATAGACAGGGAATATCACGTAGAGTGCGCGAATCGTAATTTATTCCTAATTTTATACTTGGACTTAAATAAAAGTGAACGTAAAAGTGGGAGGTTTCAAACCATATGATGGTGCCGTCTCAACGAATCAAGACGTTACAAACTAATTCATAATTTGGGAATAACTCGAAAAGGACGCAATTTTTGACCGATTATACATATGAGTATTTGAAAGGTTACTAAATTCCCTAAAAAATGAAAAAAAAAAATCATCGAAATCGAACTACGTGGTGCAAAGATAAAGCGGTCTTATCATTTAGTATTAATTCTACTTTAAAGTATTTTTTTGTTCGAATCTTTCAAATTTCAAGGATATATATTAATAATAAAAATCATAATATTTAGGAAAAAGCTTTTTTTACCCTTATATATATATATATATATATATATATATATATATATATATATATATATATATATATATATATATATATATATATATAAAATTATTACAGATGAAAAAATGGGATATAATCACCTATAATTGTAGAACACTAATGGCAGATTCTCAATTAACCGAGTTGAAAAACGAATTGGAAGTTATGAAATGGTCTCTTATTGGTCTGTCAGAAATGAGGAGATATGGTACAGGCAGTTTGGAGTACCAGGATGGTACAACACAAACACTGTATTATAATGGTACAGAAAAAGGTCAAGGTGGAACTGGCTTTCTTATAAATAGAAATAACGAAATGGAGGTACGGTCATTCAAAACCTACACTCATCGTATTTCTAGGCTATTAATAGAGCTAAATAAAGACCAGAAGACGACACTTAAAATAATACAAGTTTATGCTCCCACTACAGATGCAGAAAAAAGTGAGATTGAAAATTTTTATTTGGATCTACAAATAGCAATTGATGAGGACAGATATAATCAATTATTATTAATCGGAGATTTTAATTCAGAAAAAGTTAGTAAAGGTAACTCAAAATATATGGGTAAATTTAGAATAGGTGAATTGAATAATAGAGGAAAAAGACTAATTGTGTTTGTGGAAGCTAATGGTCTTTACATCATGAATAGCTTTTTTGAAAAAAATCCTAATAACAAATGGACATGGCAGAGCACAGATAGAAAGACAAAAAATGAAATAGACTTCATAATCGTTAAAAATAAGCAATTAGTGATCAATGTGGAAGTTTTAAACTACCCTGACATTGGCAGTGATCACAGACCAGTTGGGCCAATGTTGAATAAAAAGTTCACCATTGTAAAACATAAAAAAGAAAATAGGAGATCCAGTAAAGTTAAATCAGAAAACTTAATAAAATGGAATTTTGAAGATAAGTTGAAATCAGTTTTGCCTAAGTTAGACCAAGAGATGACAACTTCAACCCAAATTACAGAAATAACAAACTCATTAAAAAAGGTACTTGAACAGTTTAAGGAAGAGAGTCCCAAGATAGATGGTAACTGTCGAAATCTCCCAAGTAAGATTAAAAATCTTCTAAACAAAAGAAGAAATTTAAAAAAAAAAGGAGCAAGATATAAGACAACTTAACAAATTAATCAGAAAGGAAATTGAGAACTGGCTGAGAGAAAGGAAAGTAGAAAAGATGGAGGAAGCCATTAGGACAGGAGGTAAACTAAAAGAGGTAGGGATCTCTAAAACAAAAATGACTGCTATTTTAAATGAAAATGGGCAAGAATTAAATGATAACTTGGAGATAAATTATAGAATAAAAGAATATTATGATGAAAGAAAAGATAAAACTGCGGAGTGGAACATAGAAAACTCAGATCCAAAAGAAGAAATTATGATTGAAGAAGTATTAAGTGTAATAGATATTTGTAAGGAAGAAAAATTTAGGAGGTGTTGATGGTCTTACAATTGCACACATAAAAGCTGGGGGAATGATAAGCAGGCACTCACTCACTTATATAATACATGCCTTAAGAATGCAAGCTTTCCTGAAGAATGGGAAACTGCAAAACTCATAATTCTGCCAAAGAAAGGAGATAAGAGAGATTTAAATAATTATCACCCATTAAGCCTTCTCTCAGTTTTATATAAAATATTTTTAAAAATCCTACTTAGAAGAACAGAAGACAAATTGGATATAGAATTAGAAAAACATCAAGCCGGATTTAGGAAGAATTACTCTTCTGCAGACCACATATTTGTGATTAAAGAGTTAATTAAGAAAGCTAATGACTATAATCTGTCAGTGAGCCTCCTTTTTCTGGATTACGAAAAAGCATTTGCCTCCCTAAAAACCGATTCTATCATAAATATGCTGAAAAAGAGAAACATTAGTTCAAGAATATGCAAGATACTGGAAGATATGTATTCGAGATCCAATGCAGAATATAAATCAGGAAATACAACAGTAAAAATAAAAATTAGAAAAGGTGTACGACAAGGTGATACCCTTTCTCCTAAAATATTTATATCAGTTCTCCATGATTTGATGCAGACTATGAATTGGCAGAACAAAGGAATGAAAATTTTTGGAGAGTGGCTGAACCATTTAGAGTTTGCTGATGATCAAGTCCTAATAGGTAAAAATATAGAAGAAGTCCTAATGATGGCAAACCAATTTAAAAAAGGCTGGAGAAAACATAGGACTGAAAATAAATTATAAAAAATGCAATTATATGTCAGTGAACGTTGAGGGAGATATAAAAATAGGCGAACACCATATAGAGAAAGTAGATACATTTCTATATCTTGGGCACCTTATCTCAATCAAAGGACAAAATGAAGAAATAATCAGGCGATGTACCCAGGGATGGCGCGCACTCTTCAAATTTAAGGATATATATAGTTCCTCGGTGAGCTCAGAGGTAAAGAGAAAACTTTGGGTGAGCACAATACTTCCTGTCATGACATATGGTTGTGAAACATGGGCAATTGACTAGAAGACTTGCCACAAATCGAGGATAACCGTCAGAGGAATGGAGCGATATCTTCTGGGGATAACTCGAAGGGATAGAAAAACAAACAAATGGATCAGAGCTAAGACTGACCTTCCAGATATTGTGGAAAAAGTGTTCATCAGGAAGTGGACCTGGACCGGACATGTAATCAGGAGGAATGAATGAACATTAACCAGACAGTTTATGGATTGGTATCCAAGAGAGCACCTGGGAAGAGAGGACGCCCGCCGACCGACTGGGACAAGGAGATGAAGAAGACCTGGGGGGGATCAGCCTGGAAGAGAGTAGCATTAGAGAGGAAAGAATGGAAAAGGGTGGGACAGGTTCATTACCTAGTGTGGTTACAAGAAAGTTAAGTATAAAAAAAAAAAAAAAAAAAGAAAGAAATCGAACTCAAAAAACCTCAACTAAGTTGATTTTGTACATATAAGAGATTTTGTAAATTCGATTCATTGTTTTTTTCATTGTATGCACAAATAAAGGTTATTAATATATATATATATATATATATATATATATATATATATATATATATATATATATATATATATATATATCTTTTTTCTTGATATTATAAATTTATTAGCAGATTTTATTATTTAACAGAAGATGATATAAAATTATTTCTTAATCTACCCTATTTTCTCTTCTGCTCTTTATTCGAAATTTTAAAATTTGTGTAATGACTCTTTTCTTCCTGAGACAGAATATATTGCATCAGTAAGTAATTATTCTAGCTAATCTAAACATTTGGTTTTGTAAAATTAATTAAATTTTTTATAGTGCTATAATTCTGGAACGTTATATACTTCATTTTAAATAAAATATTATCTATATATATGCTATTACATGTTTATCATTTTAAAAATTTACTTGATTATTTTTAATGACAAAAGAAACATTTCTTTAATTTTATTTTTATTTTCTGTGAATACAGACAGCTAGGTCAAAACGTACCTTCCAGAGAACTAAATTCAAAATATTGAGCCTTCATCAGATATTTAAAGGCAATGTATGGAAGCTTTTGTAAAGTTAAGAAAAAATATAATGTTATAATTATAAATTTAATGAAACTAGAAAGGGTTAACCTATGGAAGGGGTATAGATTATTATATTTATAAACCGATAACTAACTAAATAAAAATATTAAACCTTTGCATAGAAACATTACTAAATGGAACATACAAATATAAGGTTTGTGCGGAGTATTCGCACTGGTCAGCTAGTTAAATTTTATTTTTGAAAAATAATTCAGAAAAATTTCAATAGCGTGCTGGTGGTACATGAGATGCAGCGATCTTTAAGGGACGGGGTTCGTTGCCCGGGCGACGACCCTGACCTAGGCTGCACCGCTTTGGACAGCTGATGCCGGCTTGTCAACGGACCCTTATCAACCTAGCTACTCATTTATATTCAATTAATGAAAAAAAAAACATAACCTTAAGCATTTGTAAACAGAGAGTGACGAAAACATCTCTCTTATCCCGAAAAGTATAAAGTAAGATATGCAATTTCTTTAACAATATTTACAGACACGGATCAGACTATATTCCAAGTGAATTAAATACAAAGATCATTACTCAATAACAGATTTTTTTTTAAATAACTGAATACACAGAAACTGACAGCTTTAATATAATAACTGTTCTCACTTATTATGCCTTTGCTACAAGTTGAACGAATATAACTAATGCTAAAATTTGATACTGTTATTTTTAAAAAATATATACTAAAAAATAAAGTATTTAAAAAAAAACCACGAAAATAATATTCAAAAAACTGCTCGAGTCACGTGTTTGGTGGGAGATCCATTATCACTAGAACACATGCCAAGGACAGCATCATGACAATGATAATGTTTCCGGCATCAACGTAACATTACCAGTACATGTTTGTTTACAGCACCGGCATAGATTTTTTTACATTAAAATTATTTGATTTAAATCTATGAATATTACTGCTAAAGATATATATATATGTATATATATATATTTTTTTTTATTACTCCACAAGGAAGAGAAACTTTTCCTATTTTAATTAAACTACATTGTACATACCTTTTTCGCTGCAGACATCTTGATGGCAAGAGTGGCCGCTTGCACACAATGATTTCGCCCATCGCCGCCGATGACAAGGCAAGACTTGTGAAGTCCTGGACCGACGGCCCTGAGGATGGATTCGATGAAGTTCTCCGTGTAATGTTTCTTCTTGTAGCCTTGTAATGGCTTCCTAAGACCGGAGGTTCCCGGCTGCTGGTCCCCGAAGGGTGTAGTCTTCACGGTGACTACTCCCGCCGTCGACGATAACATCCTCTCAATGCTCTTGGTCGACACTGAGCACAAGCTCGGCGGAGGTTTGATAGAGCGACCTGCGCGCGCAGGTAGCCCCCCCTCCCGTGCCCGCTTCTGAAACAGAGTCCACAATCAGCTGTTTCTTATCAGTTTTTATCACATAACATAGTATAGAGTCATTCATGGGCATTTTACCATTTTAATCATATATGGCGGTAATGTGGGGAGGGAAGGAGGCAAGGCGCTTCCTTCTGCTCCACCATAATATTAATATAATAAGGCTATATTAATTAAAAAGGTTATATTAGTTAAATTAAAGGTAAATATTAATACCAAATAATATTATTTGAGTTCATACTCTGTGTAATTTGTCGTACTGAACCGAATGGTAAAGTGCGTTTGGTAATACTATTTTTTCTAGTTCCTATTCTAATCAAATTTTATAGTACACAAAGTCTAAAAAAAAGAAAGAAAAAAGTTATATATAATAAACTGGAAATGAAAATTCCCTGCGACGGTATGGATTTTTAAACATAGAAATAAATGAGCCGTTTATTTTGAAAGTGCCCTACCTTCATTTATCTTCAAATCGAGATATTTAAGGGTTTGCGTTTCAGTGAATTTAAAAATATAAGTATAGAATACTTACTAATGAGTCATACTGGCTTAAGTATATCTGTTGGATTTACATCCAAAATTTTATTGTATAGAGTATTTAAATTGTCGTTGTATAAACAACACGGGGGGACCCCCGGTCTAAACTTGCACTACCCCCTCTCTAAGACGGCCTTATCTGCGGCCAAAGGACAGATGCTAGCGAGCGAAGAAGGTAAAAAGGACTGCTGACGACCACCTCCTGACCAGACCTCGAGAACTACAGCCCTTCGGCTAATTTCTGGACCTTTTTCCTTTTCCTGGACTTTTTTTCCTAAAAAAGGAGCACGAATGAGCAAAGTTTAAGTACAAACATATGTTAGTGCCTATTTTTAGGGCTATAAGATAAAACCAAAAAGAGAAAAAGAAACTGATTTGACATAGTTTTCTAAAAGATTGTAGTGAATTTTGATTAAAGTCACAGTTTTTATATGTCATATAAATTTTTATTTTTATTTTTTACCGAGCAATATTTGTTATTTATTTGTCTATATTTCTTAGTTCTAATATATTTATCATTAAAAAAAATTAAATTAAAAAAAATGTGTTTGATAGTTTTGTTTAAAATGTAAAGTATGTACAGAATATATGTTCTCAATTAAACAAATTGAACTAGAAAAAAAACAATAGCTTTTAGAAGAGATAACAAATATGTTATCTAGAGTTTAAGAAATTGGGCCAGGATTTTTCCATGTTTTGACCGAAACCCATTACCCAGTTATCGTAGATCTCAATCTATTAAAATACATTATATCATAGCTAAGGAATGAACCTATTTCTATTTCATGTTCTTCTCAATGCAATATTTAACTAAAATAATCATGCTTGCATATATATTTTTTTAAATGCTTTCAAAATTTTAAATGATTGTCTGAAAATGAGAACTATAGGGTTATTTTTTTCCGAAACACCACTCATACAGTAGATTGGAGAAAAGCTATTGTTGTTCTCTGATTTAATTTTGTTGTAGTAATAATTTATTGTAATAAATTAAAAATTATTATTCTATGTGATAATGGTACAGTAAGATTTTCAGTTCTTAATTGTGGATATTGATCTTCATAGTATTAGTTGAAAATTAAATGTTTCTGTCTTCTAATCATATTTCTAATATTTACGTTTTGGTGAACATACCTGAAGCAGATTGTCAGGTTAAGATTTTTGAGAGATTTTAAGTAACAATAATTATAAACAAGTACCTAAAATCTTATAGTTGATATTGGTATTTTCATTATTTGTTATGACTATTTTTGTAATTATAATATATATATATATATATATATATATATATATATATATATATATATATATATATATATATATATATATATATATATATATAATTTAATTATCTATAAAACTATACATAAAAAGAAAAAAAATAATTGAATCAATATTCGTCATAATAATAGCAAACATTTTTATATTGGACTCCTACCCAAAGCTTTTATTATTATTAAAAAACACTTTATTCAGAAATATTACAATTTGTCACTGTTAAGGACACTTATAATAGAGTTCAGAGATTGCATTCATACCGTATATACAAAAATATAAATAAATAAAGTAATAACAAAAGAATAAGAAGAAAGAACAAAAGAGTAAAGAAAAAAAAAATATATATATATACACATAAGTAAATAAAAACAGAAATAAAAGTAAAACAACACCTTATATAAAACATACATTATTTACAATTTGCCAGGTGATCTCCGAACCAATCCTGTCCCCTCCACATGTGGAGGGAAAAGGGAGGCTTAGGAGATCCCTACGCTTCTCCCTCAGCCACCTCACTGGTATTTTAAACCAGCGGAGGATGAGTAAGAGCTCTACAGCCACAGACACTCATGACTTGAGTGGAGAATCTGGCCATTGCTAGAACTCCAAAATATCCATATTTACAAAAGGTCTCGTGGCCACTGCCGCTTTAACCTACGAAGGGGATTGTAGGGATGGGTGGTGCTTGATAGGGATTGTACAACGGGATTTGGGTGATGAGAAAGGTTCTGGTGAAATTTGGAAAATTTGGCTGGGATAAGATCAAGAATAAATGGGATATTAAGGTCATGATGTAGGGTTTTATTGGTTACATAGAAGGGAGCATTGACTATTGTACGGAGGACTTTAGACTGAAAGGATTGAATGCGTTTGATGTTAGAAAATTTGGCTGTTCCCCATAGTTCTAGTCCGTAAGTCCAGATGGGTTTCAGTATTGTCTTGTAGATCAGTAATTTGTTTTCACCAGAAAGTTTAGATTTTCTATTCAGTAGTCTGTATAGCTGGCCATATCGTCTGTTAAGTTCCTGTCTTTTAAGTCGAGTATGTGGATTCCATGTTAGTCGTCTGTCTAAGAGAAAGCCAAGATACCGGACTGTATCTGAGAAAGGAAGCTGGATGGAGTTAAAATAAACTGGTGGGCAGGTATTACGCCGAAGGGTGAAGGTAATGTGTTTACATTTAGATTCGTTTACCTTAATGCGCCATTTCTTACACCAGTGTTCAATCAGGAAGAGGTGCCTTTGTAAGTTTGCGGACGCTGTTTCAGGATCTGAGTTGGAAGAAAGGATAGCAGTGTCATCAGCGAAAGTTGCCAGGAGGGTATCGGGATGGACAGGAATATCAGCGGTAAAGAGAATGTAAAGGATGGGGCCCAAGACGCTGCCTTGAGGAACGCCAGCCTCAATTGAGTAACAGTCGGAGAATTCGGTGCCACAGCGAACTCGGAAGGAGCGGTTGGAAAGATAGGATCGGAGTACTAGGTATAAGGACTGTGGTAGATGGATTTTAAGCTTGAAGAGTAATCCGGCGTGCCATACCCGGTCAAAAGCTTGCGCTATGTCCAGAAATGCACCCGAGCAATACTGCTTGATTTCTAGGGTTGAGGATATATGGTCAACAACTCGGAGTCCTTGCTGGACAGTGGAATGTTGGGAACGAAATCCGAATTGATGAGTAGGAAGGTTATAGGATTCAATTATAGGTAGGATTCGTTTCAGTAGGATCTTTTCAAAAACCCAAAGCTTTAAGGAAATTCATAGGACTGGAAACACGAGGTACTTTTGATATAAAATCTTTGAAGGATTAAGTACAAAAATAATAACCGACTCCATCATTGCAGGTTTTTCCCCAGAGACATTGGCTACAGAAGCAAGTATAATTAAAATGTTTTTTTTTTTAAACATACTTTTAACAAAGTTCTATATCAAATTAGATGGCTTGTTTAATATTTAAAGAAATAAGAATAATGTTAATTCTTAAAAAAAAAAAAAAAAAATCGCAATGTGTGATCCATTGAGAATTTCAATTATACATAAATGTATTCGTTTGAAACAGTAAGCATTTATTCTGATTTATTCTATAAATTATTAAACTATTTGAATATTATGTATGAAATGCCGTTATAAAGTAAGGGATGGATACGGATTCCATATATATATATATATATATATATATGGATATGTCAGAATGATGTTGGAACAAAAAAAAAAAATAATAAAAAAAAATAATAATAAGCTTCATTCTATCAGAAACGGAATAACTTACATCAATAAATTAACCTTTTATTTAGTTAGCTAAATAGATTCTGCTATACACAACCTACTCCGTTGACTCTCATACTTTATTTGTACTTCAAGATTTAACACATATTTTGGTACTTATGTAAGATAAAGATTGGATCTTTTGGATAGAGGATAATCTTTTATAATTTATATCGACAAATGATTATCAATTGATAAACTGTAACGAAGGACTTGCTTTATCTTTTCCGGGTTCCGCCAACCTTCCTCCGGAACTGATGTACAGTTGGCGACCCTGCTTCCGGTCAAAGGCTAAACCACATTTGGCCAGAGCCAAGGAAATGACGAACATTAAACAATAAATCATAAAATATATATTGTTTACGGCTAGTTATCATTGGGGATGGGTTATCTTAAGCCTTCGAAATATTGTTATTTTTTTTAAGAATTAATAGTAGCCTGGTCCATTTCGGAGTGGACAAAACAAAAAACAGAAATGTTAAAAGTATAATTTGTTACCACAGAATCAAGGCATTTTTCTCTAAACAGCTTGTCTTAAAGAGTTCTTGTATTACACAAGAAATCATTGAAACAGATATTAATGTATAACTAGAATCTCTTATTGATTTCTTAAGAGAGGTTCGATTTTTCGTATGTTCCAACGACAATATCTTCTTGGCGCATCTTAATCCAATCTTGTAATCTTTTTAAACTTCTTATATTCTAATCTTTTAGACCCCAAACTACCAATTTGTACATCCCTTCTCATGGAACTGCTTTCTATGAATAATATTTTATGATTTGTTGTAACTCTTTATGGAATTCTTACTTTTCTCCAACCAATCATTCAAGCACCATTTATTTGCCTTTTTAATTCCTTGATCAATCTTCTCATACAAGTATAGAACAATTGTTTATTTAAATTCTCACAAGTAAATTATTTCTTAATTGTGGATTGATGGTCGACTGTAGTGGGGATGATCCGTCCAAAAAAAAAAATATATTTATTTATAATTATTCATTTGATCAATTGGTGTACCAATAAAAATAAAAATAAATATATTTATTTATTTTTAATATTTATTATTTTTACTGATCAACCCAACCATTCTTCTCTTCAATTAAATTATTTCTTATGTCTTTCAGATTACAATTTAGTCAAGTTATTATAATACTTCTACCCAGATAACTTCTACTTGAATTCAGGCTTATACTGACGAATTTTCGTCGTTCTTTGAGAATTAAGCGTCGTGAATAAAAATAAAATTATCTTTTAAAAACAATGGAACATTGAGAAAGGAATCACATATTGTGCAGAATATTAAAAAAATTAAAATTACAAGAATTATTATTAAGACCTGTTAAATACTTCAACACATAATCTTTATTTATTGAACAGAAGATGAACAAGAAACTAACGAAGTTTGACGTATTTAATTAGTCCACTATATTAATTATGAACTATTATTCTATACAAATATTATATGTATATATATATATATATATATATATATATATATATATATATATATCCTTTGTTTGTTTGTTAGGTATATTGAGGCAAAATAATTTCATATTACTGAAAAACAAAAAAAATGTTACTTCAGGAAAAGTAAGTAAAAGGGAATTTTTTAATTGTGAAAACATTTCATATTTGTTTTCAGCATTTCAAAAAACTCTTGAATACCAGTTTTTATAATATAAAAAAATAAAATTGATTTCGTCTTAAAAAATTTCCCTACAAATGTTTTGTTTGTTATTGACTTCGGTTGAGCTTATTAGTAGCAATGAAAGATTTTCACAACTGGAAAGAAATTTTAAATAACATTTGAAGTAATTTCATAATTATAATTTTGTGATCTACTTTACACGATGCAACATGTTTTTTTTTTGGGGGGGGGGAGAGGATTTTAAGTAAATTAGGCTCTTTTTTGTGTTTTTTTTTCTATGATAATATAGAATTTCTATGAAATATAGTGACCGGATCGAATTGGTATCAGAGAACTAACACATAGAGAAGAAAGACCAATAAAGAACTGCTTACAGAAACTGGTCAACCTATCTCTCATGATACGAAGGCACGGAAGTTAAGATGGGCCGGGCATGAAGCTCGTAGCAATCCATCTGGAAGCGGCTACGTAACAATAAATTCTTCAGTAGAAGGCAAAAGACCACGTGGGAAGCCAAAAAGCAGATGAATAGGTAGAAATAGCCCAAGACAGGCATATATGGAGCAGGCTTGTTAAGGCAACAAAAGATCTACATGATTTATAATGCCAGCATATATATATTTAAAACATGATAAAAATATCATATTTTAAAATATAATTTTTTTTCTCGGTCTATTGAATAAATTCTCCATATTTTCGCATATGAAATCATCCAAAAAATATAAGTCGATTCGTCTACTGTGATTTTGACCTCTCAATGTGAAATAGGTATGCCTACATCTAAGATGTTTATTTTCATTACTTTTTTTTTTAAGATAATGTTAATGCTATTTTATTCATTTATTTTCATTCTATTATTACTATTACTTATATTTTCTTCCTTCACTGTGATATTTTATTTTGTTCTTTTATAGCTTTATATTATTTGAAATTAGCTAATTCTATTTGAATTTGTAAATATGGTGTGAATGTGCACTCAGAACTCTATTATAAATGTCCTTTATTGAGACAGATTGTAATATGTATCAATAAACAAATAATCAATTGAAAAAAAAGTGAAATAAAAACGCATTTCGGAACAATTCCTGTTTTTCAGCCAAACTCTGTTATTCAGTTCTTTTCTTAAAAACATATAATAAATATATTATAAAAACTGTTACAAACATTCGAAATGATTTTTAACTTTATTTGTAGTTTGCAAAGAAATGATCCTTTGAGAGGGAAATAAACACACCACAATTTAGTTTGTTGCGACTTAAGAACAACCGATCGCCAATTTTATTTTATTAAAACACCGTTTGAATATTTGTTATTTATCTGCATGATTTCCATTACTATCTTCTTCATAAGTTATCTTTTTGCCGATTCCTCAACGTTTGGTTTGTAGGGACTCACCCCCAGTGGCATAATATGTCCTAACCTTACCGGGGAAGATGCGTCCCGGCCTTGATCCTGTACGGAGAGGAGGGGAGGTTACATAAACCGATCTGCCAGGAGTTGAGCGATTCCAGTCTGTCATGAACGGCTACAGACCGCGCCTCTTCCGCCGTGACAGTGAGAGCAGGCCACTGCTGTCATCCGACGTAAGCAGGCCCACAAGCGAGAGGTATGTCTTATATCTAGCTATATATTAATATAATATATAAAATATAAACATCATAAACGTGTTTTTTACACTATTTATATATCCAATATAAAGCCTAAAATACGCTAAATTATAATAAAGAGATCTGGTAACAATTGCGGTGTTCATGGTATCTGTGGGGCGTTATCAGCATTATTAGGAAAGGTCATGAACTCTTGAACGTTTGGTATCGAATATTTAAAAATAACCGAGACAGGAAAGTCAAAGCACTTTATAATATTTTTAATCAGTAAAATTACTGCTCTCCAATTATTTGGTCGTTTTACCTGAACATCACGGAGGGGGGGCGAGGAAGGAGAGAGGGTAGGTCCATAGGTCCACAAAATTTGCAAGTAATTCTTTTTTCATTGATCTATATTTCGTTCTGTGATCTGACACGCGTAGTGTTGCCCTAATGCGAGACCGAGACGAGTCTTGGTCTTGCAAACTCTGTCTTGGTCATGGTCTTGGTCTTGCGCAAGAGTCTCGCAACAGACTTGCAGTTACTTATTAGTTCATTACTACAGAGATATTATTGTATTTTTTTAGATAGGAGAAACCTAACTAAACCCGATTGAAAAATTACAGGAATTAAATGCAAAAGTATATTGGTTATACCAATTATTAACTTATAGTAACTAAGATGGTGAAATATTAGTAAATATTTTGTCTTAATTTTTATTTTTAAAAAATTATTTTTTTTACCAGTCCTGGTCTTGGTCTTGCAACAGTTAGGCGGCCTTGATCTTGGTCTTGCAAAGTGCAAGACCAAGACCAATTTTGGGCAACAGTAGACACAAGTTCTTATAACTCATATACAGACACTAAATGTGGAACATGTTTCTAGAAAAAAAAAATTATATTTTAATCCAAAAAATTACGCCGGTCCAGATTTTACTGCTCTACCGGTTCAACAATTTTAGTAATTTACTTCAATAAGTAACAATTTAAAAACTACTTATTATTTTATATGATTGTTAATTATAACTAATGTCATTTTTTTTAAATAAAGAAAATTTCTCCTATCGAGATATTATAATTTCATCAAAACATGACATCGCTCAAATTCCCAATTTATCCGAGGTGTTATGAAAAGTAACAAAAATATTTCCTTAGATACTTTTAATTTTTTTAAATTATCATGTAATTGGTAAGTTTATTTGTAGTTTTCTTATATTAGTACATAATTATTGATAAGTAAAATCAATTATATTATACCGTTAAACGATAAAATTTGATTAATTCGGCTGCGTCACCAATAACATAAATAGTGATTGTAGTTACCAGAGAATTGTCTATTTTAAGGATATCGCGCTGGATATAAATGGTTTTTCAAACTTGTACAATGTTAAAATCGTATCCATATTCTACTACGATCATTCTGCTTTTTAAACCGACAAACATACAGAGAATAACAATTTTTTAACGTGAACCATCCTATTCGTTACTACCACTCAGACAAATCCCAGCCTCCAATTGCAATATTACTTACCAAATGGATTGTATAACTCCATAGTCATGTTTCATCGACTCCATTGTCATATTTGGAGTCTCACTTACTGAGCTACGTTACCTACCTAAGTATCAAGCTACACGTGGTGCATTGTTCAACCTAAGTGGTACCTCATCTGAGGGCAATGAAACATTACGTAAGATGAGACCCTTGAATAATAATGCGCTCAGATTTTTCGTTTTGTTACTTCGATTGTTTTTTAAAACATTACTATAGTAGTGCACATTGCAGATTTTCCATTTTGTGGGTAAACGACCAAAAAAAAAAAAAAAAAAAAAAATTGCATTAGTTCTTAGTATGTGTGAAAATTCAACATAATTATTGTAAAATGAGAAAATATAATATCCTCTTGTAGCCTTCGGGCAGTCTCTGGCATCTCAGAAGGTTGGAATGATTTGTGAATTTCCAGTTCCAAAAAGAAAAGTTATGAAGGCTGTCTTTCTTTCTTCCATGTTTAATGGATACCAATTGTATTAAATCTAATTGCTTTATTCAGATATTCAGATATTATATACTATATATATATATATATATATATATATATATATATATATATATATATATATATATATAAATAGTTTGGACGTTGTAGAATTTGTTTACGTGCGTATGGATATACTTGAAAATATCTGAACAAAGCAATTAGATTTATTACAATTTGTATCCATTAAACATGGAAGGAAGGGAGACAGCCTTCATGACTTTTTTTTTTTTGGAACTGGAAATTTACCAAGCACTCCAACCTTCTGAGATGCCTGAGGCAGCCCGAAGGCTACGACAGGATATCGACTGCATCAACAGGTGGGCAGAAATAAATGAATTAAAGCTGAATGCAGATAAAACCAAGGCTATTCTCTTCGGGTCCAGACATCTCATTAGCTCCCTTCCTTACTTTCCCATACTTAACCTCAATAACCGTCCCATCCATTTTTTCCCCACAGTCAAAAACCTAGGAGTGACCTTTGACCAGAACCTCTTCTGGAATAACCATATCTCCCAGATTACCCGAAAATCCATAACTGCCCTTAAACAACTCCTAAGATTCCGTGATTGCATTCCTCTAAAAACCGGACAGCTCCTTGTAACCTCCATTGAATTCCCCCATTTCGACTACGGCTGTTTGGTGTATGGAGGGCTATCTACCAGGCTAGAAATGGGACTGAAGAGACTCATGAATTGTTTCATAAGAAACATTTTCGGGATCTCCAGCCATTCACTTGTTTCACTCTGGTACACCGAGTTGTGGCTTTATTCTACTTCCTGACGACAATTCCTCCTTGGTGTTTTCCTTTTCCAAGTCTTCAGAAACAAAAACCCTACCTACATCCTAGAACTCCTTACTCTACGCTTCTCTATCCACTTTCTCGATACTAGGTTTCAACCTATAGACTTATATATTCCGTCCTATAAAACTTCCTCCTTCAGCAAATCCTTCGTCATTAGTACTGCTTCCTTATGGAACTCCCTTCCTACCTTCATGTGCCAATCCTCAATCAATTGTATCACATTCCATTTAGCACTTCCGCTTACGAAGCGCAAACGTAATTTTTTTAGATTTGCCAATATTTCGATTTGGCTCAAAGTTAGATAAAAGGTAGGTAATGGTGAAAAAATAACGTAATGCCAATTTTATTAAATTCTGTCCACTAATTGATCGTATATATGCTTGTTTTCCTTGATGCGTTTATATATTTAAAACCGCATGTTCGATTTTGCTCAAATTACCTATTTGGGGACATTCATATGTATTACGGATTTATTATCCTATCTGTAACACCATTGTGGGACACAGAGTAATGAAACAAAAAGACATATATTCAAGTCTGTATACCTACCAACCCTGACACTTACGGTAGTAAAAGTTGGGTTATGCTGGACAAGCAGGCCAGCCGGATAACGAGTGCTGAAATGAAGTTCCTGCGGAGGGCCGTTGGTAAGACCAGACCGTTTCAGGAATGAACGGATACGGGAGGAGCTGGAGGCGTTAGAGCTTAAGAATACGCTTGAAAATCGACAACTGGAGTAGTTAGGCCACATTTGTCGGATGGATGGTGAAAGAGAAACTCGGAAAGTGATGGAAGCTCAACCCACTTGGAGGAGACCACGAGACCGTCCCAGAATTTCCTACCAGGAGTACATGCAGCGGATTGGATGGAAGAGAGGGAGAACTCTCCAAGAGATGAGGCAGCTTGACCGGGACCGAGAGACGTGGATGCGTTGAATCGAGGCTCCTCGACGGTAGGAATGGCATCAGAGGTAGACAAAGAAGAAGAAAAATCAGAATAAAAAATTTACAAGATCGCACGACTTTCCCTTACTATATTTTACATATACATACATAGGTAAGTGAAAGTAAAAATGATTAAATTAAAATATTTTTGGTAGCAAAATGTATTTCATCAAAAATCATTGTGCCATTGACCGATTTTTTTAAGATTTGATTTCTCAAAACAATCTAAACATCAATTCCACAATAAAATCGATGAATTTAAACTTTAGCAATCAAATTTAAAATTTTTCATTTTATAAAGTCAATCAATTTAAACATTGAATTGTTTTCCTTTTATTTAAAACTTTTTTAAAAATATTTTACTACGAATATATTTTATTTAAGAAAATCACATCACAATTTATTTATCCGGCATAGTTGACTCTATAAAACAGTTGCTTCTATCTTTGAAATTTAATGTCATCAAGTGGTCTATTATTTGAAATTTTAAGATTTGGAATATCTGTTTTGAAAATTAAGATGTTTGAAAATGGCTGTAATGGCCGAAATATTACAAAATAATAGAAATTATAATTTTAGTTTAATACAATACATTTTAGAAGTATTACGAGCTTTTGAAACCGTAATCTAATTAGGTTAACATTAAAAAATAAATAATGAACAATGATAATAGAGTTGTTTAAAGTAATAAAAACTTCATCAAAATCATTATACGTCATAAGAAATTAGAGCTTTGCAATGTTTTGTATTACTACAATTTGAACGATTTTTTTTCCCCCCATTTCTTTCAGAATCGAATTTTCAACTTAATAGTTTTCTACCATTTTGAAAAAAATATCTACTGACCTGAAATATTTTGATGCCGATATATAAATAAAATATATTAAAATTAGGTTCATAAAACATGACAGTTCAGATAAAAGGAATGTTTCTGACGATGTTTTACTAGAAAACAACGAATAAATTATTTATTTTTCTAAGACATTTTAGAATGTACGATACACATTAACCAAGACTGACACCCAAATAATTACTAATACCCGATAAACGTAAACCTATTATGTGTACCTCTAAGCATTCTTAAAAAAAAAACAAACTTTTTTTTTATTACTTCTGCTTGAATATACACGAAATTTCTATTTTAACAATAATCGTTAATGTTAAAATGTATTTTTATTAACATTTACAATGATGCGTTAACACAAACAATAAAACATTGGATTTGGGTAGGTATGTACT